ATTCTAAAATAACTTGTTGCTTCTAAACTCATGAGATTATCCCTTAAAACGTCTCTCAACTTTATAACGACACTGGAAGCATATGAGTCCTAATCTCCCGTGTGAATACACAACAAACTTTAATTTTAGTGATAGCATGTTTATTTCAAGTAAAAGTTAGAGCTGCTACAACAAGATAATCTTCAAAACACAAATCCTCTCACAATATAGGCTACGTAAACGTAATATGTCTTCCAATGTAATTCGCCATTTCCATTTTATTGTTATTCATAAATTGCTATTATAATAGAGATATATGGTTTCCGTCATATAATAATTTTCACTTATGACCACTTTTACGATCAAAAAGATGTATCTAACCAAAGCTTCGTCTTATAATATTGAGCTAAACTTGGATACCCAAGGGACAAGAACGCCTTCTTAGATCATCAAATGATTCGGTCGCAATATAAACTTAAAAAATATATATGTTTATGTGGAAGGAAACATTAGGTACTACAGGAAATAAAACGAAATAAAGAAAAAGTATTAAGTACAAAAACAAATATAAAAATTTGTTAAGATATAAAAAAGGGTAGATTTTGAGTGAGATATACGTTTTAAAATATTTGACATATTTACGTTAATAACCTGTAAACCTTTTTGAGGTTTATATTTTATACACACTTTATTGGACACACTAATAATAATCAAGAAAACTCAGAAAACAGCTAACATCCCCTAACTGCTTTAAGTAAACCGTTTCAAACGACCTAAGGAGAGAAATTGTTAAATAATTTGTGAAAATAGTCCAAAAGTATAAAAATCTCTCACAATAATAAATATATCAAAATTGACTGAAATAGATAGTACACACTGATTACATAGTATACCTAATTATAATATTACAATTTAAGTCAAATTGTGTATTTATTAGGAAGGAAATATCGATATATGAGTACCTCACGTGTACTGAAAATATCTCAAAAGAAATACAGGATTACGTTCTTGTTTATATTTTTTTTTCAAAAGACCTCATTACGAATATTCCATTTATTATTTCATATATACTAATCGTGCGGTTGTTTAATTGAGTATTATTAATAAATTATATCAAATAATATTTTATATTAAGCCGTTTTTATATTAAACGAAAGATTTAAAAATATGTCAGGATTATTTCGTTTAATTAATAATTAAGAATACCAGACGTTTCCTAAGCTTCTTTGCGGAAGTACTAATCAAAGTATTTTTATTACTGGTTTCAATATGAAAAAAACTAATGATAATAATCCTTTTCGCTACAAAAGCCGTAATAGGAAATAAGCATAGCAAGAGCTGGGATGGTTTTTGCTCGGTATTCAGTCGCCGGCCGGGCCGCCGCACTAAATTACTCCTTGAGCTCCGAGCTGTAGACTGATTTTTACAGTAAATTTCTTGGTCGGGTACTCTTGAGGATTGCGGTTCGCTATCATTGTTGGAACACCGGTGTTTGTCACTTTAATAAATACAAATGAAATCTTATAAAACAATGATGTTTATTGTTCTTTTCAATGCACTTCGCTCGGGATATTTTTCATTATTTACAAAACGTGCCATTATTTACGAATATTCAGTGTACCTATTCCAGTTACGATCACGTTCAAGGCCTGATTGTCGGCAGGGTTGTCTTGGTTACTACACAATAAGTAATCTGTTTTTGAATCGACTTTTTATGCCAACCTGTTCATTTATTTGCATACTCGAAGCGCATCCGTTTTTTGCTTTTAACGGTTTGCCGATAAAAGTAACGGTATGAAAATAATAGACTACGTTGTTTTACCTTTCTTAATGGAACTTGTACATTTATCATTTAAAAATACATTTTCTGTTTGTCACTTCAGCATTTTTGCATTGAATATTAAGGTAAATTTAAATGTGTTTGAAAACTTTCAGAGTTGCCGTTATATTCATTTTTCTTGAAATATACTTCCAACGTGATGATAACGAAGTGAAGATAACATCCTCTCTATAACATGATATAATAAAAAAATACATTATTTTCTTTGTGTACACAGAGAATAGTATCCTTTTGAAATTCAAAGTCGCAATATGAAGAATGCAATGTTTAAGCCCCGAGCAACACTATTTTAGATATCAATTTGCAGTAATATCAAAAACAGCAAAAGCCATACAAACGTATTTGATTCCAAACATTGTACATATGAATACATGAATACTTTTTATTTGAATTTCTGTGTTCAGTTTTCTCCAGTGTAGTATTTTTTTTTCTTATGTGAATGGACTTATAAAGGAACATGCAATATTTTGCATTGTCCGTATTACAAGTGACAAGGATTTCTTATGTAGCTCTGTATTTGATGTGTCTCAAGACTCTTCAACAATCAGGTGTTATGTGCACTCATAGTTTTTACGGATGACCCTTACTCCGAGTGGACCTTGACGGCACTGACAAAGATGTACCATTGTACATAGAAGCAGACTTTGTTTCATTACAGTTGTAACATTGGAAAAATGCTTAGGTCAATTTGCATTCGCATAAACTTGACAAGATTTATGGACTTGATGTTACTTAGTTCAGTTTTGTTCTTATAAATTTTTACAGTAAGATAGTAAAATGTATTAAAGTATTTATCTTAAATAATTTGTTTTACATATATATAAACTTATGTTCGTATACATATTTGTTGTGATTTGATTCTAACCTAATTCGGCGAATCAACAAGTGCTTTTTGAGAATACATAATTGTTTTTGAAAATAAATAAACATTTTTCTCTCAAGAAATATTAAAGAATCATAGAATTATTAAAGAAAAACATCTCAATAAATATTCAGAAAGAAAACAATAATCATTAAAAATGTTAGTTATTAATTGAAAAATAACAACTTAAGTTTTTAAACGGGTATCTCATCTGAGACTTCAATAATGTAGCGCTAATGAAAGTATCTCAAAGTTAGTTCATCTTCAATTCAGTAATTATGGCACTCGCTGCCTGTTTGAACAATAAAATATTATTAACACTATAGACTAATAGACAAATCATTATAGTTTTTGACCCAAGACTTTAGAATCTATTCCTAAGAAACTTGATTCATAATATTTAATAAGTTTTAATAATATTTATTAAAACACCCAAGTGGACGTCGCGTAGACAAGCCAACATAATCTATAGCTTTTGTTTTCAAATGTTTAGAAAACATTATCAGCTATTAAAGATGGCGCCATGTTTTGTAAAAATTTCCTCCTCTTTAAGTAAATAAGATTTTAAATTTTAAAATGTCATATATTTTTGAGATAATGCAGTAGATAGCAGTAGTTTAAAACAAAACAAATAGAGTAAACCAACTGCTGGTAGGAAAGTTTTTATATTGTATGTACCCTAATAGATATATGATGATATAACGACGACACCATTTAACCCTAACCTAACCAGAGTTTTGGACTTAAATTTTAAATTTAACTTATAATGCGTTGATGTTAAGGATTTTTCCTTTTGTCTTAATACCAAAAAAATCATAGCCTTACTTAGTGTTCAACTGTTTTTATCTTTAGACAAATAATTATGGACTTGCAACTATAAGTCCATACAAAGGTTTGAACTGTTTTATATCCATAGAGTATCGTCTTTCCATCAAATATATAGTGAAAAAAATTAATTCATATATTTCTCTAATCTCCAACTATTGTGTATACAAACTAAGTTTATTGTATATTATACTCACTTACAGGAAATAATAATTTGTTGAATTAACAGTTTCTCGAAAGCATCCCAGAACTGTTTAACTAAAGTTTTGTACATACGCTAGACCACGCTAACATTACTGCTATGTGTATACACAGTCAGATAACTATTCTCAAACGAGATCTATGTGTTCTAAGTTGAATGAATATAACGTACCACTGAAATTATGAGTAATTCAAAAATCTATGGGATAAGAGGAAGTTTTGCTTTTGAGACTAAGCTGAAACTTTGTTTGATGGCGATGCGGTAACATTTTGTTCTCAACTTAGACGCAAATACCTTTCCTAGTAATTAGCACCTGTAAAGACTAAGTAATAACTTGGATGCTCGTGGGTCACTTATTATAAGATGCATATATATCACGAACTCAAAAGTCCACTTCAATGAAAAGTTTCGGATGCATTGCATGTTTTTGAGGCGTAAATGAAAAGGGAATTCTTGTTAAGGTCTAGTTCCCAAGTTTAAATGAAATGTAGGATTGTAGACAAATTTCAGCAAACACAAAGCTGAAAGTAATTACTTGTAGTTGTCAGTGTTACATGCGGATGACAGTGTTCGAGGCTAATGAGTTTAAATAAAGTTTTTCAGAGTTAGTAAGTTTATTTAACTTGGGAAATAGCTTGACCATAAAACAAAACTTTAAATTATCCTAATGTACGTTCAATTAATATAACCTACGGTTTAAATGTCTTTAATTTGAATCTATACAAGAGATACATACATATTACATGCTCTAGGAACGTCTTACGTCGAGACTTGAAACTTTTAAACTAAGTGCCTTTAAGGTTCCTATCGATGAAGACTGCAACTACCGATTTTCTTTGACACGACAAATGCATTTCGACGTACCTAAATATTGATCCATAAAAAATGTCTATTTTCGATTACTAAGATTGACTTACAAATATGGCAATTATTACAAAAAATATATACGATATTTGTACATCAATCATACTTTTACGTCATAATTGTACGACAATGTACTTCTATAAGTTCGTAGAATTTTACATTATTTTAAAATTAAGAGACCAACACGAAGCTTTATATTCAATTAGGCTGCCAATGTTTTTTTTAGGAATTGACAAATTTAATAAAATATATTTTTATTCTTTTTTTATTTTTATCTCTTAACTGATTGAATCTCGAATTGACTTTATTACAATTAGTCTTTTTCATTTTGTCGAAATATCTATAGTAGTAACAAGTAGTATCTGTATGTTCATATAGGTCTGGGATGTCATCTGTGGGCGTCAGGCGACGGTGAAGTGACCGCCGAAATGTCGGCGTGTGTGCTCGCGTTGCTGCTACTGGCTCGCCCCACGGCGTTGCTCGCTCTCGATATATGTAAGTACCATCACCCTAGGTTCTATAACATAAATGTAACATAACCGACAATGTTTGTGGGCTGCACTGTTTATGTATATTAGATTGATTGTTGTGTTCGATATAACAAGCTTGCGACTCTATTTATTGCGCTACAAATTGGTAACGCAAAGTTCTATTAATCTGTTACAACTCATTTTTATTTCTTAATGTCTAAGACGCTTGCTTACGAAAACAATCCTGGAACGGTCAAAGCTGTTAAAAACAAATTAGACGAGTGAATGCCTCGGGGCTCCACAGCTACTGCTTACTTTGTTATTTTGAATTTACAACTCACCTTACACATCTATTATAATACGTCTCTGTTTTTGTGATAAAACAATAAGGTAAAATAAATAATGAAAACCGTTGAGTTTTAATATTTCGAGGAATACTGGTTTGTAGAACCATTTTGCAGCTCCATTTTAAAGGCAATATGTTTAAAATATTGACACGCGACGTCCAAGCTGGCTTCCAGTTATCCGCTAAAGCTTTAGCTGCTTTTAAGTCCTTTTTTGGTATACACTGAACAATATAACAAAGCTAAGAAGTGAGATAAAGTGTGAATGTAAAATTCTTCGTGGAAGGGAATTTATAAAGGTTTATCTCAGGTTAAACGGCATACTTGGAAGATTATGTTGTTACCTCCCGGTTCAAACAGCTAGAAAATGTGTATCGTTTAAGTCTCCAGTATTTTGCTTTAACAGATGCTTTTTTTCTCATTTAGTCGCCGCTGTTCCTGGGTGAAATTAAATTAAAAACATTATTGTAGAAATTTCCGTTGATTTTACAAAATATTAAGGATTTGATCCTTTTTATTTTTAGTGAATTGCTATTCAAGGAAATAAGAAAAATGTTACATATCAGAAATTATATTAGGCCCACTAAAAGCATACATTAATCCATAAACTACATATAAAGATGTCTTTCACATAACGCGTTGCGTTTAGATTTTTGTACGCTTGTAAATTTGTATACACATCTCAATTAATTATAGTTTTTATCAACTCGTACCCCTGTCAGTTCGGTGTGGTATTTTTTAAAATCTACTTATCGAATTTATTAAATTTCCTCCTCTTGAATAAATCCCTAGCCCCGTCCCGTCTGTAATCAGTGATGAAGTAATAGTCTATTAGACTTTTCTTTATCATAGGATCCTTCATTTCTTATTACTTCTGATAGTTTTATGAGTAGCCTATGTTTCCGTCAGAACCTTGCATGTTTTAATTTTGTCATTTGTAATAGCCTTCTTGACATTTCGTTTGCGTGACCTTTTGTTGGTACGATGTTTTTTTTTCTACGGTCACGTGAACTCCTTTGAAACTTGTAAATATGAAAAGATTTTAGGTACAATGCGAGTAAAGTGCTTGGTGCATCTAAGTTAAATATGTAAACTTGGTTCCGTGTTAAAATATCGATACAACCGTCCTTCTGTTTGGAATTCTTGCACATGTAATTGCAAAATGGTTTTGTCGGAATTCAATGTTTGATTTTCTGTTTATTTGAAAGGACTTAGTTTGTTGGTAGTTTTAAACTGCCAACAAACTACATCACAGTACTTTGAAAATGATTATCACACTCACGACCAGCGGGTATTTACATGAAAATACGAAATACGAAATCTTATAACAATAAACGTATGCATAAATTTTTATTACACAATCAATTAAATACTTAAACAACATTTTGTTTAAATACTTTACACCAAGATGCAGACGAAGCTATAGGAAAGAGCTAGTTAGTAATAAAAAGAAATGCGGTCAAATGTTACATTCATTACACATTCATAATCTTCTATAAAAGTTAAGATGGAAACTGAAGGCATCGTCAAAGCATCTGCATCAAGTGCTAAAGGGTCCTTAGCATATATTAGATATTCCCGTAAGCAACGTTGATGACGTAACTGTGAGTAACTTAATTGAGGTGGCTCGTTGGCAAGTTACATTTTGCTGTTCACACGGATCCTGTTGCATTACAACTGCATTACGGACGCGTGCCCGTTAATACATCAACCGGACTATACCTACACAAACTACTAGCATATGTATCATTAGTATAAGTTTAATGTGAACCATCTTATACAACTTATGTAATGAAATATTATAAACATTGTACATTATGTGAATTCGAAAACGGTATTAATTAAAATTACTTCAACAGAGAGGTAACATCACGCTGTTTATAGGATTTATCGTATTCCCTCAACTGCACCTGTGGCTATTTACATCGATTTCGATGCTCATTTAATAAAACACACGTCCTGTGGCATTTTTAATCCATGAAACACGTAATGGAAATACGGAATGGCTTAAATAAAAACAATCTCTCAAAGGAAGCGACGCTTTAACGTAGTTCGACAAATATTTAGTGCACACAGTATCTACCGCGCATACATTAAATAGGAAAGCAGTCAACAATATCATAGAAGCTTTTTCGCGCTAGTGTATATCAATCAATTTCACTTGCAACGTTCCCGCAAACTCGTAATTGTAAGACTGACTGTGGAATAGAATTCCGCTATTGTGTGTGAGTAATTTACGTTAAATGCATATGAAGCGTCGACGTTCTTATCATAGTTATTGCTATCACAAATAATGGAACAAAATTAAAAACTATATTGCAGTAAATAAATTCATGAAACGTTTTTTCTTATTCGAAAACAGCGGTTTTTAAAAATTCTGCCATTTCGCTACGATAATACCTTATGAGAGAAAAGGCAGACTTAAAGCTTAGTTGTCACAGACGAGTCTTGACAAATGATGGTATTAAATATAAAAGTTTTTAACACCTTCTGCTAACGCGATGACTTTATATTAATTTCATTCAAAAGGCTTTGAACAATAAAATGTTCCAACAAAATATATTTTAATTTCGAAAACTAAATTTAGTCGGATCTGAGCGCGTCCAAGTATGTATATATTATTCATCGTGACTTAAGAAGTTATATAAAGCGTATAAAGTTTTGTGGCAACTTTAGACGCAAGTCAATCCATTAAATATAAGCCGTTTGAAATGAAAAGTGTCACCTCAGAAACTTTTGCTGGATTTTTAAAATTAATTTCATATTCTCGGACAATGAGAAGGGAAACTTGTTAATTTACTTCCTTATTGTCACTAGAGTTCTTCCAGTTTGATAGTATGTCAAAAATTTATTAGAAGTCAACTTTATGAACTATATGTGTGTCGATTTGTATTTATTACATTGATGTCAGATACCTATAGGTATTGTTTTGTACAAGAACTTCGAACATGAATTTTGAATAAGAAAAGTGAACTTTAAAATAATATTAAAAAAATATATATTTATACTTAAACTCGTAAAGTCATAAAATTTGTTAGTCAGGTAATGACGAATGATAAACATAGTTTTACTTATTATTGTTCAAAAATAGGATTAATATCGCAAGAGAATAACTCCCGCTTCTGCTATCCCAATGTCCGGGTATCATTGTTTTCGACATTTTTGGAATATATATTATGTTACCAAAACCTATTTCTTAACGTAGTAAATTTGTTATGCTACATTATATGAAGTCCGTTGCTTTCGAGCGATTACCTATCCCTATATATTTTATTTATTGCGATCCTGTATCGACCGCTATTGGCTTTTAAGTGGCAAATGTGCATAAAAGATTAACGGAGGGCATTTTTTATTTAAGTACAGTTCACGTTTTGCGGACCACATGACATATAAAGAATATTATTACTTTAATATTTGGTATAAATTCGTTTGGTAAAAACTACGTTTGTTTTACATTTACCGTACGACAGTTATGAATATAACGATAACTTTATTTTGAAATGTGTGAATTTTGTTCTTCATTCGAGCGGTTGATTTGAACTATTGTTTTGAACGGTGATTGTTTTCGATTGTACCTTTTATCTGTTATTTATCGTATTTGTCCACTGAATGTTCATTTGGATGTTAATGTTGTTGCCAAAACAATGCACACCTCGTCAAGGTTATTAAATTTGTTGTGTGGATGTTATCGATTATAGTATATAAAGACCAAGTTTATTTTGTATATATCAGAGGATGTCACGTCTTTTCTTGCACATAACTTCTTGTATACCTGCCTAAGCATAATAAGGATATGAGACAACTCCTGCTTTTAAAATGCTGACGTTCTACCTTTAAGACTTGCATAGTTTAAAAATAAAAAGATTATATTTACACAAATTATCTTTTATTACTTATTACATGTTACTTTCATGGAAATTATACGAACTTTTATGTGAGAGTAGTTTAATTCATCACAGACTTATTCGATAATAAGTACATGCTAAATTCTTATATAATTCTTGATTTAACATTCTAAGTCCCTGAAAGTCCTTGTAAATTAATATTATTCCACAAAGGGATTATCACATTGATAATATAATAATTAATTTTCCTCTATCTTTTTATATCTCCTCTGATTCTGATTCCCGGCGGGCATTATTGTCGCTGACAAAGTCGTATTCATGCTCGAAGTTTTCATTTTCACTTTGAAATTTTATTTGAATGGCCCATTTAAAAGATTCGTAACTCAGAATTCTGAATGACTAGTGTAGTGGGAAATATATGAGAGAAAAAAAATATTAATGGAACACGAAAAGTAAGCCAAGGAGTGTTTTATTTTATTCGGTCTGAATTAGATTTCGGTCTGTAAATCCTCATCCAGTTTTTGAGTCCTAGTTGTAAACACGAACTGTACAGTAATATAGAGTCTCGTTCGAAGTGTTCGCTTCGTCCGTTTCCTAACTGGCAATGTCAACAGCTAACTTTATTACAGCGGTCTCCACTCGGTGTGGATCGTTCATATAAGTTTGAAAATGTCTTGCAGCATTCTGGTATCTGTGTATGTATTTCAAATTACTGCCGAATACCTGCCAGAATTATCCTGTGACAAACGTTGCCACAAAGAAATTATGTCATGCTCGTATCAGTTTTTGTGTAGAATTTTCATTAGTGACAGTGAAGATAATCATCATTTTTCTTC